TACAACTATTATCACTAATGTCAATTTAAACCTAAATCTACTCTGTGTGTATCTGGGCAGTACATGATGTCATCGCTTAGTTGCAATTTAAAAAAAATCGTAATTGTAGTTTAAACGATTTTATCATTACCCCCTTGATGGTAGTTTCTTTTTACAGAACTCTGGTGTTCCTTTAAAATTCAGGATGAAACAGGAATTACCAGCCAATAATAGATGAAAATTAGATGACTGTAATATATAGAATATTCCATGCTTTGTCTTTAGGGAGCCAACCCCTATATTATGCTTGAAGTGAAGGAGTACAAAAAATCAATACACTTTATATTAGATTTTTTTATGCACATTCATAGGATAACTAGCTGTTAGGGGAACAAACGTCACAAAACAAGAAATAAAAACATTTTGTAAATGTAAAATGATGTAGGGATGGTAGTGCCAAAAAGAATTCAAGCAAGAATATAAGGATAATACAACTATACTTAGATCATCCTTCCATGACTTTCAATATTAACATTTAATATTACACTATAAAATGCATACTTGACTTTAATATTACTGCTCTTGGAAGTTATATATTCCTGACTGTTTGTACGCAGTTTGTCAGGGTAGGCATCAATGTAGTGTAACTAAGAGCCTAGGACTTGCATACAAGGAAAAGTAAGTTGAGTTAAAACATATCTTGGTTATTACAGACTCTAGCTATGAGGTCAGTCAAATCGACCCACCTCATAACCATTTTATACCCATACATTTTACAGTGTAACATTAAATCTTAATATTAAAAGTTATGTTGGGATGGCCTATGTATATATGCATCACCCTTATATTCTTGTTTTCATTCTTTTTGGCACTACCATTCCTAAACCATTTTACTTTTACAAAATGTTTTTTTATTATTTGTATATATAATTTTCATTGTGATGTACCTTGTTTCATTCTCTTTCTTTTCACAACTCAGTCAAGAGTCAGGGAAATCTAGTTACAAAACATCTTCTGTCAAAACTCCTTTTATTTTGCAGATCCTATCCAAATACTCTTAAGATAAATCAGTATATCTGAGATTATCAGAATAATATATTGCATTTTACAGAAAGCATTCTATAACACTCTACTGTGTAAATAAACTAAATACATTATTCTGAATGACTGAATACCATTACTTTAACAGCAGACATTGCAAACCTTGTATTCTTTTCTAAAGTATATTAGGTTGTAAATGAACACTTTTGACAATGAGAAACCCATTTTGAAACTAATAAAGTTCATAGACAAAGAAAACCACTACAAGTTTAACCAGCACCCCGATATGCAAAGATACCTTTATTAAGGAATAACCAATCTCGAGTTACGTGACTTCCTTATTTCATACTGTATATATATATTGTACAAACTATTGATTACATTAATTGTTTACAGGCGATTAAATCAACACTATAAAACAATAACAAATCGGTGTCCTGGTTGTCAAATTACTGTCATAACGGATAATGTCTGTGGTAATAGCACCCAAATGCGTTGGGGATATCCCATCTATCAGACAATATCCAAACGCTGATGTCAAACTAGTCAGCCATCATGGAAAGTTATCAAAAATAATTGATGTACGAAGCTGAGTGCTTACAGCATAACATCTCAGCTTCTACTGCCTTCCCACAACTGGCTATAGATAGTGAAAGTTACCCTTAAATTTCTTAAAGTAGAAATAAATTGAAATAAAGTCACCCTAATATTTCTACACTCCCAACCTCCATCCTTATTAAAAGATATTAAATATAGAAAATACTCAAACATTCAAGCAATACAAAATCAGAGGGGAGGACTGTGTTAAAAACAGTACATCCAAACCTGTGATAAATGACATCCAAATGAACAAAAACAAGCCCAAACAAAAGTCAAATAAAGACTTGCAGAAATCAAAAGGATCCCCAGAGCACAGGCTATAATGTGGGATATAAAATGTACCCTGGATTTGTAGGTGACTGCGGAAGTAGGACCCATATCACGGTGTGGATACACCATATATCAGTCTTAACCTCCTTTCACTAGTCTCACATGAAGAAATTTAAAAAAACTCAAAAGTAGAAATTAGGAGATCAAGATGTGGGTGCTCTAGTCCACAATGTCCCACATCTATATCACCCTTCACTGCCTGCATACAGTCGTAGGAAGGTGACTGCTCTCCAAAGTAAAATAGAAAATAAAGAAAGACAAAATAAGGTACTACCACTTGGGGGTAAGTAAGGTAAACTTACCTCCTCAGGTTGGCATTCCAGCCCCCATTGTATTAGTAAGGCACTAATTAGTAGCATAGTAGACAAATTATATTAGTATAACATTCCAACCAAGTTATTTAAACTAACTAGTATAACTCCCAACCAACAACCATTAAGTCCACTGTAGCTACCAATTTTCAGCCTCTACACAAGCTTTTACATGTGATAAGATGTTCATCTGCATAAAAGTAGTGTCAAGTTAGCCATTCAAGCCATCTCTGAACTTTAATAATTGAAAAATATTTAAAATACTTTAAAACACAGTCCCACATTACACTGACATAATGTTTACAGATTTAATACAAGTCATCCTTTGTTTTAAATTAAACTAAATATTTGTTATTTTGAAACTACTGGTTTAAGAAAGGTTAAAATCAAAAGAATGAAATTTAAAACAAATGAAATACAGAAAAAAAAGTATGTTACATTAAAAGATTTTGGAGCCTCATCACAGTCCATGTCACCACACCTGGTCATGCTTTATCCGATAATCATGAAACAAGCATAGTTTCCATTCCAAAAGGCTCTGATGTAAGGCTGTCATGTCCAAGGCACATCATTCTTCCATGGAGACCTTCTCTAATCTATCTAATGTATAAGGGCGAGGTTCCCAGTGCTTGTTTGAACAGTCCAACCACACAGAAATCCATAGATGCTGCATCAGCAATTTGACCAGCATGTCTTCATATGGAATAGCATGAATACATATTTCATTCTGTAGGTGCTTGATGTGTGCAATGGTTGAATGATAAGAATGACTGAAAGCTTTATCCTGGTAAACCCACACACACTGTTGGTCTCATATCTGTACTGCTTACCCCTGAAGAAGAAAGGTCCATCTTTAGAAAGCGCTAAGGGTATAGGGCTTTTATCATTTTGTACGAAGCTGGTATTTTTGTATGGTCCAGAGGGACAACACCACTAGTCTGTTAGTAAACAGGGTTCTCATTGATCTTTGTATCTGCTCTCCTGATCCATAACATGCCTTGGCAGAGTAACCAACAACAATCATGAATCTCTTTGAAAACGTTTTACAACATGTCACATACTAGTTTGGAATAGTTTTTCACCCATTGAACAGTGGAAAATAGCAAGACACTTGTTACAAATTATATATATGCTTTGTTGAATGGTACAGCATATTGCTACTTTCCTCTGACTAGGTACAGCTCATATAGTTTCCTACAGTTGGCTTTACTTTCCTGGATATTTTGTGGAAGCAACATGTTTCACATTGTTGTCTAGGTCACATGAACAGTTTATGCCACAAACCTATGTTTTCACAGATTCTCATCTGTTACAAAATGTCACACTTTGTTAACATGGCTGGAGATTGACTTACTGTAGATCTTTTTCTGGATGGTCATGGGGCTCCAAACTGTTTAATAACCTTTTTTTTCCACATGCCATTAATTACAAAGGATATTCCTGTCTTCGAAATTTGAAATTCTTAAACTGAACACATTTTATGATGAGAGTGCATGAATATTTTCCATTGGAAAGGGCTGTTACATACCCTTACCAAAAGCCATAAACGTTTTTTGAAGAACTGCATATTCAAAACAGTTTTAATATAACATACTCAACTCTCTGTAGAATGAAGAGTTTGTGTTAATAAGTTATCAATAGGCACAGAATTTCGGTTTGAGTCTTTTGTAGGCCTGTTACTCAAGTTTGGTTCTTTATTGTAAGAACAATGTATTGATGTTTTAGATTTTTGTGAACAGAATGCACTCTGAAAGGATGTAAAATTTACAAGATTAAAATGAAAAAATAAACATCAAAATAAGAGTGTAGTACTTCTGCACAACTGTCACACTATCTTGATGACACACACAATGCAAAAGTTAGTAAATAAGAAAGTTAACTTCTTGGAGGAACCTTTGATACTTATATACCATTACACTCTTATGTGACACCTATAAGGTTGAAACAAAGGTATAATTCGTCTGCCATCTAACAACAGAGATGTGACATATCTACTAATAGTAACTCAACCTACTATTATAATCAGAAGCATGAAATGTTGCTAAATAGGTTAAAAAGAGTAATATCTATTAAATTTCACAAACTTATTTTTCTTATTCTGTGTAATGTATATTGATAATTATTTATTTACACAAAAGTTGTAGAGGATATTACATTTATGAAATAAAACTCTGACTAAAATCACTTTACCCTGATCTTTTGGTATTTATTATGTTGAATCATTTACATCATATATCTTTTAGTAAAGGTGTTTTGCACATTAAATTTTTTTCTTTTCTCTCATCAACTTATGGTCATAAGCACTATCTCCATTATATAAAGTAATATTATTATCTTCTTGTCATTTGATGGATAAAACAATACAAAACTGTTTGAGTTATATCTTATTTTGCCGAGTGTTTGATGAGTATAAATTCAGCATTATCATTGTATCTTAACACTCATTCAAGTGCATGAGAAAGGCAATATGCCTTTTCTACTTATTGTGCAAGGTCCACTCAAAGCAGAAACCTTGACATAAACACAATTTCATGAGTCTTTGGTGTTTATCATTTTTCAACTGTCTACTATAGTATTTTTACTGTGTAAAATTTGTGGTGTTTAAAATTATAAGATAGTACACTAAATACATTTCCAGCATTATTTGATCCATGAAAAAGATAGTGATTTTGGCATCAAATCTAGATTCCACTTTTCAGAATGTTCTTATATCCGAAACATTTAAATCATAGCACAAGATGAATAGCATACACTTTAATAATTTCACAAAGAAGAGTATCTGTACACTTAGATTTATTCATGTTTAGATAACATCCCAAATAAACAAGCTCTATAACACACACCCTTTTAAAAAAGCAACTAAATAATTACTTTCTCCCCCTTTTATTCATTCTTATTTTTATTTTAGCTCCTTTCTGTGCACCTTTTTTAGAAGCTGACACAAAATTCTTGAACTGTCCAGCAAGTTTGACCTTTTTCCTAAAAAAATAAAAACATTCAGTAGAAACTAACATTACTAATTACTCTGCAATAACTATAGTGTACAACTAGAGTGAGTAAAACTAAAAGTAACAATCATGATGTTAGAAAAACACGTAGGTTCAAGAAGTCTCGACAGAAATGAATAAAAACCCTATAACCTGAGTGCTTTTGAAAGGCGGACATTTCTTATTCAGGGGCAAACTAAGAATGGTGGTGTAATCGAATGATATATATACATAAAAAAGGAGTTTAGTGACATCATGAAGGTCATCTAGTTCACCAGGAAATATTTAATCTATTTTTCTATGTACTGTTGCAAGCATCTCATTTCCGGTACAATGTAGCCAATGGAGAGATTGTATGTGAAAAGGCATCAGGGATATTTTACTTTAGAACTAAAAACTATACTTAAATGTTTAAGTTAAATAAAGGTTACACCTGGAGACTGATTGAAAAAGATATGTTATGCTAATCAATTTATAAAAACGGGTATGGAAAATTATCTTAAATAAATAGTAAGTTTTAGGAAATTCAGCATTCACATTACATGAAAAAAATAAGCAAAGAATAAAAATTATTTTTCTGACAGAGATGAAACCAATGAACGGAGATCACTGATTCCAGGATCTTGATTAATTCTGAAAGGTTGAACAGTGTTCAGATTAGCAATCCAATAAGCTTATTTTATTTCTCTATCTGCTTTAGTTTTGAATCCCGTGTCAATGCCGATGAGAGTAACACTATTAATAGAATGACCCGGTTGATTAAAGTGTTGAGTAACAGGGAAATTTTTTTCGGTGTCAATAGAAAGTTTATGATTGTTGAAATGTTCCATAAGAGTTGTTTATGTATGTCCTACATACTGGTGATTGCATTTTGTACACTGTACAAGGTAAATAGTGTTTTTTGTTTCACAAGTGATTTCTTTGGATATTTTAAGGTTTCTTTGATTGTGCTTGTCAGAAAATGAGTCAGTGGTTTTTATGAACTTGCAGGTTTCAGTACGGGATTTATTACATGGATGACACCCATTTTTGGGTGGGATGCAATTCATTTTTGTGTGAACAAAGATATCTTTTAGAGTTCTGTTTTTTCAGAAGGAGACAACAGGAATTTCAGGAAATATCTGTTTAAGGAAGTTGTTCAGTTGTAAGAGATGAAAATGGTTTTTCAGAATTTGTGAAACGTTTCTGAGTTTAATCTGACAGGTAATAATAAGAGGAATTTTATTTGAAAGTTTAGTATTGCTCTGATTTAGAATGTTTTTCTGCTAAGTGTTGTTAGCCTTTTCAACTTGTCTGTCGATATTGGTATTTTTATATCCTCTTTGTAAAATGGTTTGTTTTAGATCCTTGGTATGTTTTCTGTAGTCTGTTTCATCTGAGCATATTTTCTTTATTATAAGAGCTTGACTGTAGGTAATGTTTCATTTAGTGTGAGAGGAGTGACAGCCTTTATAGTGAAGGTGTTGTGGTAGGTTTATTGTACAGATCAGTGTACAAAACTCTGTCTTTTAGAAGAACAGTGATGTCAAGAAATTAATCTGGGTAGGTGAGCAATCACAGGTAAACTTGATTGTTTTGTGAAAGTAGTTTGCGTGTGAGATAAATTCTTAAGTGAAGTGATTTAAGACCGGCTGTCCAAATGAAAAATATGTCGTCTATGTAATGTTTCCAGGTATGAAGTTTTACAGGGCTTAGTTGTAAAAGCTGGTTTTCAATATGACCCACAAAAATGTTGGCATAATCGGGAGCCATTTTGGTATCCATTGCAGTACTGTTAACCTGAATGTAATGCTTGTTATTGAATTTGACGTTGTTCAAAGTTAAAACCAGGCTGGCAAGATCATTTACTGTTTGAGATTCTGATTGGTTAGAGAGATTTAATGCAGACTTTAAAGTTTGTAGTCCTTCATCATGTGGAATGTTGGTGTAAAGGGAAGAAACATCCATCATGCAAAGAAGACTGTTGGGTGGTAACTGTCTGTAAGTATTAATATCTTTTATGATGTTAAGAAAGTGAGTAGTATCCTTTATGTAAGAGGGGAGGGGATACAGGGAATACATTTTATGTGTTGGTCAAAAAAGCAGACAACTTTTCAATAGCCATGTTTATATTAGAAATCATGGGTGAGCTAGATTGTTTGGTTCGTGTATTTTGAGTAAGAGATAAAGTCTACCAGGAAAAGCTTGTCTGGGTATCAAATACTGAAAGGTCTCTTTGTTAATTTTATTGTTTTGAAGGAGTGCTTTAAGCTTATCAGTTATGGTCTTAATAAAGTGAGTTGTAGGATTATGTGAGAGTTTCTTATAGAAATTAGTGTCCTCCATTTACTGGTTAGCTTCAGTGATATAGTCTTTTTTTTATTTGTTAATAATAATAATAGCTCCACCCTTGTCTGCTGGTTTTATTATAATATTGTTGTTCGATTTAAGATTGTTTAAAGCACTTTTCATTTTGGTTAATATTATTATGCCATTTTCTACTGCTTTAATATAACTCTCTAAATGTGGTTCTCTGTTTGGTGGAGGCGTCCATAAAGATTTTTCTTTAAAGTTCAGTGCTTGTTGAATTTCAGTAGGGTGGGGGTTTGTTGTGAAGAAATTCATGATGTCTTAGTTTTCTAGAGAATTCATGAATGTCAGAAAGATATTTGAGCTCATAAACATAGCTGTTATTTGGGAATAAGTTGAGACCTTTACTAAGAAGAGTGAGTTCTGCTTCAAAGAGAATTATATCTGAAAGATTAACAATGTTAGAGATATGTCAGAAATGTTCATCGTTATCTGTAAATTTTATGAGGTCACTGTTATTTTCAACAGAGTTATTAGTTTGAGAAGGCTTATGTGTATTAGAGGATGAAGTGTTTTTAAACGTTTTTTTAATCTGTTCATTGTGAGATGAACGGATTTTGGTAGTTTTTGGTACACTGCTTATTGTTATGGTTGTTTCTTTATGACAAAGAAAAGGGTTTGAAAGAGTGTTGTTAGAAGCACTTTTTGAATTGGTGTTATTGGTAGAAAGCTGATTTTTGTTAATCCTTTTGATTAGGAATGTATCAGTTCTCTTTGTAAGTTTTTGTAGTTCTTTTTCTTCCAGCAAAGGGTTGTACAGGTGATAATAGTGGGAAATTTCTTTATCTAGAATATCAACAGAAATTAACACCAAAAAAAGATTTCCCTGTTGCTCGAGACTTTCACCAACCTAGTCATTCCATTAACGATATTACTCTCATTGGTATTAATACAGGATTCAAAACTAAAGCAGATAGAGAAATAAAAGAAGCTCATTGGATTGCTAATCTAAACACTGTTCAACCTTTCGGAATTAATCTAGATCCTGGAATCAGTGATCTCTGTTCATTGGTTTTATCTCTGTTAGAAAAATAATTTTTATTCTTTGCTTATTTTTTTCATGTAATGTGAATGCTGAATTTCTTAAAACTTACTTTTTATTTAAGATAATTTTCCATAATCGTTTTTATAAATTGATTAACACAACATATCTTTTTCTATCAGTCTCCAGGTGGCACCTTTATTTAACCTAAATACTTAAGTATAGTTTTTAGCCATTTCTAAAGTAAAATATCCCTGATGCCTTTTCACATATAATCTATTCATCGGCTACATTGTACCAGGAATGAAATGCTTACAACAGTACATGGAGAAATAGACTAAACATTTCCTGGAAAACTGGATGACCTTCATGAGGTCACTAAACTCCCTTTATATATATCACTCATTTGATTACACCACCATTCCCAGTTTACCCCTAAAGAAGAAAAGTCCACTAAAAGTAACAAGTCACTATGAAATTTAAGCATAAGAAAGTAGAAAAAATTCACTGCATTAATTGTTTAACTCTATTGAACATGTTTTAAGTTTCTTACCTTCTATTTAAAGTGTGCTTATTCAGAGGGATATAAGCATAAGGATCGTGTTGCCCTTTCTTTTTCACATCACCACCTGCCTTCTGTTGATGAATAAAACATACAATGTGTGTGTATACATATATACTAATTTGTTTTGTCTTCAAGATATTTGCACAAAGCTTGTTAAGTCTATGTGCACTAACTTCCCTAATTTTAAAGTGACAGACCAGAAGAAAGACAGCAAGTCCTCAGCACCCATTGCCAACTCTTGGATTACTCTTGTTTGACCATATAATGTGATCTGACCATCATCTTTCTAAACACGAACAGCCCTGCAGATCCATAGTCCACCATGTGAACCACTGGGCTACACTTGGCCCTCCAACTAATAATTTCTTTTCATAATGTTTCTTTTGTGAATTTGTCAAATTAAAGAAAAATCTCAAATTTCACCACGAGTTTTATAAAATAATTAAATCACTATGGAAAAATTACATCATAAGCATTTTTAGTATTTTTTAAGATTCTCTTATATCATGAATGTGAACAAAACTGCTTTTTTTACATGAAACTTAACCATTATCTTCATTGTATAATCAAACCTATCTTAAGATTCAGAAATGATTTGCATTGATGTATTTAAATATATATATTTCTTGATTAATAATTAAAAGCATAACTTATCAGCATAATAAGGGATAAATTAAAACTTCTCAGTGAACAATACTACTATTAGCACATAAAAATTAAACACCACTAGAAGTACTCCAGCTGAGTTTGGTAATGACTCACTCACAAACCATTGATATATAGTATTTATCCAAACTGTCAGGAAACTGTGTTTCACTGAACAACTTTATCATTTTTGTATATCCCATCTTTCCCTCAGAAATGAAAAGAAAACAGACAAGCAAACTATTTTCTGGCTGCAGAATAGCTTTACAAATAAAATAAATCCATGTTTAGGGAAGGCTTAAACTCAGTTTATTTTCCCAGTCAACCAATTTTCAATAAGCTCATCCAATTAGGAAGCAAACTAGACTTTAAGAGAGAAATATTTTACCAAGAAATGCCTATTATTCAGAAAAACAGTTAAAACTCTAAACAAATAGTATCTTAAAACAGTAATTGCTTTATGAAAATCAATATAAAAAAAGAAGTTTGCTGTGATACTAACAGTAGAATGATAAGACGTGTTACTTATAGATGTTACTCTTTCATTACTTTCAAGTTAATAACTAAAAGATAATAATCTTGTTCACCCCATTACACTCGTTGTTCGCTTGTTCATGCAACTTGATAAAAATAATAGTGTCTTAACTACTACTGTACCTGTCATACCATAGCCAAGGGAGGAAAGCCCTGTTATTAAGTGAAAGTCCTCATCAGCATTGGATATAGCAGATAAGTGTAGCCGACATATTGTTATACATTCTTTTTTACTTTCACTCTAAGCATTAGAATAATGTTTCTGCATTTTCTTTTATTATTGTTACACACATAATTTGGTTGCAACCACAACAGACAGCAAATTGGGCTAGTTGCTATAACTTACATAAACATGTAGTTTGAAGTTCCCAAAATTGGATTGTCAATTATGACTCACAGTAAAATTTCACATAAACATAATAACAATAAAAAGATAACATATTACTCAAAAGTAAGTCAGTCAGTCAGAAATAAATATGTGGTAAATTATGCACAACAAATAGAAAAAGTAATAAAATAAACAACGACAAATTATCAGTGCAGATATCTTTCTCAAGAAAAGAATATTAAATTAATAGTTTTTGGAATAGTCAGTTATAATGTGATTCTGAGAATAACTTCTTAAACTTTAAAATATGGGTAAAGGTATACTTTTTTAACATGTTAAGTTTGAGGTGAAGAAAAATGTAGGTACTATAGTTTGATTTTCTATAAAATGACCTACTATGATACTAACAGTCAAATCAAGAAAAGCGTGTGTGAAGTCAAGAATAGAAATATTATTCAGCTGTGTTCTAAATTCATCAAGAATTAAATGAAATCAATTCATCATTTCACATTAAAATTAGAAAGACAAAACTTCATGCCAGTCTTATAAAAATAAGCTGAAAATAACATTACCTTGGAAGTATTTTCTGTTCCTTGTATATTTGGTTTACTAAATGTACGGTGGATACCCTTGCTCACAACTAATATAAAGATAGCAAAATATTACTTTTTCTCTGCATGTTAGTTCCTATATCATTACTGAAATTTTCAATGAAACATTTCATTTGACAATTATACAAAAAACTTTTTGCAGAGCTTTCAGTGGATGATGAGGGCTATAAACACAATACAACCCAAAAGTATGACAAAATGTCCCATAGTCTCAAAGTATTTCTCTTATCTATGATATGAAAATTTATTCAGTGAAAAAAAAACAGGGTGATGAAAGGCAATAACTTATTTCTTTTAATATAATTTACATGAGTAATATTTCTCATCATTTCTTCATGCTTTCCAAACTTACAATTTTATTCTGTTTAAATGCTTTTGAATATTTAAACACCTTCTAAGGTCATTAAGATAAGTAAATTAAAGTATAAGAAACCTGCACACATTATCAACATTGTTAGCTGTTTTATTATGTCTACAAGCAGTTAAAGCTTAATTGTTGGCTGCTGTCATATGGTATAATACCAAGAATAAATAGAATTTAGATGTGTTAAACAGCTATTCTTAGTACAAGCTTAGTGTTTTAGTATTTTCCATGAAGCTTATACAAAAAAAAAATAATAAAAAATAAAACCTAGACCCAATGGGACTATGTAATAAGACAGTGGAAAGTTGCTGTATTTTTAAATCTTACACTAACTTTCAGTTTAAAATAAAACATTCATTAAATCAAAAATGTATTTAATAAATATTTCTGGAGTGATTTCAAAAGGTAGGTTACAAACAAACAAAAATTCACCCTTTCATATTATTGGTTAAGAGAAAAAATTCATTATTAAATATGCAATTTTTTTTTGCATAGGAAAAAAATACATCAGTTACTGATATTTTCTCCATTTGTGTTGTACTATTTAAAAAAGGTTAATATTCAAGATTTTTTAAAACTTTCAAAACAAATTGATTGAATGTATTTATCAATATCTTCTGCAACACTCAAAAGTTTTATTAACCTTACTTATACCACGCAGAAATCACTTAAAAAGTAATTTTACCCTGCAATAAACTCATATAGCTTTACTCAAAAGTAAAGCTAAAAACTTTTTTTCTGGACAGTTTTTATCAAAATCTATCAATGTCAGTTGGATATGCAAGAATAACTGACAAACTAAATTTATTTATACTAGTTCTCTGTCAAAAAGTGCATTTCTTCAGAGCAACAGTTACATCTTTTATTAAAATGAATATTCTCTAACTAACATATATGAAGTGAAAATATTTATGTAGTTGCTTTCATACCTTAGCTTTTTGATTATTCTCATATTCTAAGTTAATTTTAATAAATAATGAGAAAATAAAATGAAAATATATAAAGGCACCTTGGTATTTAGAGGATGGAGGTTCATCTTCATTGTCTTCATCCATTTTTCTTTTTTTACTCTAAAATAAAAAACATTAGAACATGTATACAAGTCACAAGTTATTCATTTGAAAGTATTTATTTATATATATATATATACACATAAACAAAGCACTGCAAAAAACTTAAATCATTACAAATGAATTTCTCTTTCAGGAACTCCTAATATTCACAATGATAAATGCATTGTATTAGTTGTTGTCATAGTTAATATCACACATGATCATCTTAATCTAATTATTAATTACCTACATTTTTTATAAGACGCTAATTACTAACTCTTTTACATCCTACATTTTGTCTTCTTGATAGGCTGATGTGCTATCCACTTTTCTGCACTTGAATAAACAAACTATTTAAATGCTTTCAAGATAGAGTATCCAGACTTGACTAATTGCTATGCCAGTCAAGGTGTTATCAGTTAGATGTATGCTGGAGGTTTCTTTTATCTTTCTTCTTCTCATGTGTAATTCATATCCCATTATTTTAGTATTATTTCCAATCTGTCTTATAACCTTCTTTGCCGGCATGATAAGCTATGTCTATCTTGCTCCTAAATTTGAATTTCTGAACTGAAGTTTACAGGAAACCCATAGATATAGATAAATAACTTGAGTATAGAAGGTTTAAAATAAATATTTTGATCTGGCCAGACAAATTTATGCCCAAATCAAATGTGGTCTAGACATTTCCAGTGACTCAATATCACTTTTTAAATACTGTCTGATATGGAGCTAAGCTTAAAAGTCTTCCTTACTCCCAAAACACTTAAATATTCAGCTTTTTGCTAATAGATTGTATATCTATGACAATCTCATCAGGCCTTAGAACTGTTGCAGCAACTGCCCTTCATTTTCCAGTTTGGAAGACTGACAGAAGCCATCTTTGTCTGACATATCAGATGTTTGGTCAGACAACGAGCAGATCCATCTGCTATTTTATGCTTTCTTTATATTAAACCACTAAAACAGTAAAAAGATGAGTGTCATAGACTGTCTAGTTTCCAGAATGAACAAGATTTGTAATAAAATTATAAACTAATAAATATACAATAATCTGTAATATTAATCCATCTGCAATAGCCCATCATACCAGAGAAGATCATATGATAAACTAGAATATAACTGAAATAATGGGGTATGGAACATACAAAAGTAAAAGGGAAATGATAAAAGAAGCATTTTGCTATTACCTAACTGATAACACACTCAGTCAACCTAGCATACAAGTCAGGAAAGCCTAGATGACCTTCTTGAAACCATTCAAATATTTTGTTGATTCAAGTTTGTAGGTGTAGATAGCACACCAAGATGAATCCTGGCCACTACCACAACAAAAAACAATCATTCTTTGGATTTCCTTGAATACTTGTTTGTTTTAGAGCAAAGCCACATTGGGCTATCCGCTCTGTCCACTACGGGGAATCAAACACTGAGGATTAGATTGTAAGTCCATAAATTTACCTATGATTAGCAGTCAAAACACACATTATTAGCTTGTTTAGTAAATGGTATACAGTAAAAAAAATTAACTAGTTAAATAATGACTGATATCTGATCACCATAACTATAACCTAAGTATGGTGTGTTAGGTTGTTTGGACATTCTCATCTTATCAAATAGATATATTTGAAATACAATAAAATAAACTATTTTCGGTTTAAGAACATTAATAATATAATTATTGCACAGAATAAACAATCTTATGTTCAACTATATATATATTTCTTGTTTGCAAAGATCACTTAAAAAAAAAGAAGCTTCTAGTGTCACATCTTCTCTGCCTAGAATTAGTTATTTACCTCATTTGCCATAAATTTCAAAATTCTCATGTGTGAGATGCATTTCAAGATGAATAACTTTGCTATAAGAGAGAGGGTTAATTCTTCTAATAAATGTTAACTGCTTATTTTATGTAAACCAGACTTTTAAAACTTTTTTGTCTTTTAATTTAATTCACATTTGTGTTGTCATCATGTTTATGGATAGTCTGTGAAAAATTGTTTTAAACTGATTATTTTAGATCAGATTCCTTTATGATGTTAGGTGTCAAAACCATTCCTATAAATCAATATACTTTATAATTTACATTTATCCATTCTTCTCCTTTATACTCATAGTATGTGCAAATTCATCTCACATATAAGAAAGAAATAAACTGTGGTTAACAATAAATATACAAGAGCTCGACTAAATCATCTATTAAAGCAAATCATATAGTATATTTCAAAGAGATACAAAAAAACTATCTTTTTAAAAATAAAAATACTATAAGAAAAGTAAAATACAAAGTTAAAGAAATCACTAAAAATCACTTAAACTAAATTAAATTATTCTTTTTGTTCAGTTTTGTAAAGGTAATAGATAAAAAAGAACTAGAAATATAGATTTACAGTTTAATGAAGAACTGCACATTAAATAATGTAAATGTACACAGTAGTCTTTAAAATTAGCCTACAATATCAACAAAGACATCAAACCAAAAATACTTTGAATGTTTTTTCCATGGCTTCCATCAACTTTTCTATATCCTCATCTTCAGATTTCCCTGGTAATTTAGATAGTGTTATATGCTGTATTACATAATAACAAAATAACTCTTTTTTACAAATATTTCACTTAACAACTTTTCTAGATTCTCATCTTCAGATTTCCCTAGTAATTTAGATAGTGTTATATGCTGTATTACATAATAACAAAATAACTTTTTTTTTTTTACAAATCTTTCACTTAACAACTTTTCTGTATCCTCATCTTCAGATTTCCCTAGTAATTTAGATAGTGTTATATGCTGTATTACATAATAACAAAATAACTTTTTTTTACAAATATTTCACTTAACAACTTTTCTCTTCAAAATAAACACAGATTAAAACAGTAATTTCAGGTTTCCTTTACAAAAAATATTAAATACATTTCTGGCATATATTCCAGATGTTGTATTGAAAATCTTTGAAATGTTACAGAATACTTCATATTTTTGCTACAAAATCTATTGTGCAACTGTTAGGTGAATTTTACCAGCTGACAACCTTTTCAGAGCTTGAAAAATTGAACAAGTTACAAGAAATATTGGAAATAGATTCTTTTTCATATAAAAACTTTAAATCAAACAGTGAACAACTGTACTCTTCAAATGAACAAGTTAAAGGTCTTAAGTTAAAGAAAGTAACCATTTCATAGTAGATATAGTACACACACAAAAAATAATATCTTTCACAGTACCTATGCTGATTCTAATTTGTATAAGACTAAATTAAATGGTGAAAAAAATTATCTTTTAGATAGATGTTAAAGAAAACATTACAAATATTTCACTCATTATACTTCTTTTTTTAATAAAAGAGACCACACCAAAAAGATAACATAGAATAAATCAATTTCCATTTGGTTTGGTTTGAATTTCATGAAAAGCTATCTTCACATATACCATTTTATTTTCTAAAATAAATAACCTATATAAGCAAAGGCATTTCATTCTTACATTCTTTCTTTTCTTCTGTAATTATCAACCTCCCATCAGCTGAAGTTTTAAATCCATGATCTGTTTTGTTGGGTTTTGATATGGTTGGTTTGGTGGCTTGAAAATAAATGCAAAACTATCTTAACAATTTTTATCAGTTTTAATTTTACCTTCAAAATAAACAAAGATGAAAACAATAAAATTGTCCAACAACAGAAGGAATAGAAAACAAAAAGAAGACACAATGTAGTCCTTTTATATATATATATATTGGTGCCATAGTTGTGCTAAGATTACATGAAAGTTGTTTTAAACAACTCTAAAATCTAAATCCTGAAAAAGGAATTATTTCAAGCTTGTTGAAAAAACTATAAAATAATAATATATTTAGTTTTGAACACAATTTGTGTGAATATACTATGGGTGAGATTTATAATATTCATAATGAAAATCAGCGATGTCATAGATATTCAATCTGATTCAAAATCTAATCAAATATTAATATAGTGCAGAATTAGTTAATGAAATAGCATTTCCATCTATGGATTATTTTACAATATTACAGAGGCATGACACTACTTGCACATACATTATACACAAAAGTATTGCATCATGTGGCCCCCTAGTGCTTTCTACTAGCCTCTAAACATAGTAGCATTTTTACAGTTTTTCTCTTCGCTCCTTTTGGCATTATCAACAAAGCTCAGTTATGACACATAAAGCCCAGTTTGAGAAATTTTCAATATTAAAGACAGCAAAGACTAAATAAAAATCCTTGCTATCTGAAGGGTTTATAAGCAGGGGACCCAGTCCAAAAGGTTTTGTGGACATCAAATTTGATGAATCACCTGAAAACAAGCATCCTATTCAGTATGCACAAATGACTGAGAAAAGAAGAAAAAATTAAGAAAGATGAGCTACAGAGCCATCTGAAAAATAAAATACAATGGTTCAAATGAATAAGGATTTTGATCAAGTCCACTTATGATAGACTACATGCAAACAAGTTAAATCAACAAAGTGATAGTGATTGCACAGGATGAGCAGTCATTTTCCAAAGTTGAAAGATATGGCTTCATATACCTGATAAAAATACTGGAGTCGCATTATCAATTCCAAGTCAAAGGGTCTTCTCTAACAAAAACATATATGTACAAGAAACAGTGTTACACATGATGATAACAAAATTTACATTTTACACTTCAGTAGTACAACCAATGCTTGGACCACAGATCTGGCCATCACTATCTGCTGAATAGACCTTACTTTTTCTAAACTTTTTGTGTTGCTTTAGCTGAGACATCTTACACATATGCACATAAGCAAAAACATCAGCAAGGATAAGCTTGATTGCATTCAAAAATGGCAAATTGCACTAAACAAAAGTTCACATGGTGCTTTGAGACAATGGTCAAAACATGGGAAAAGTTATGTGGTTAAATAATATACCTATCCAAGGATTCCTGGCACATTCTCTAAAGTTTGAATCATATGGCAAAAGACAATAGAAGAGGTACAGCTGATCAAATGTGGGGCTTTTCAAGTGCTCATCAATCTGCATCAGAGGAGCGTGCCATACTTCAGAGAGCTCTTAATACGTTGGTCTCTCATGCAATACATGCCAACAAGATGGAACAGCTCATCTTACCCACCTGAAAGTTGAACAGTGATGAGCACTGATGATGTATGCTTCTGAAAATAACGCCAAGACAACTTTACCAGCTCAATGGACCCTGATGGAAAACATCTGCATGATCCTAAAATTTGAAGAATAAATACACTGACTGAGCTCTGAAGAAGCTCGTGTATCTGACATAATTGTGTTGCATCACACTGTAGAAAAACCTAATAAAATCAAAAAATATTTCTAACTCTACAAATAGCTATCAAGAAAGACATGGAAACATATTTTGTAATGCTTGAAACATCCAAAGAGTTGGTTATTGCCAAAATTCTGGATGACAGATATGAGCATCATTACTTTTGCATTGACATAGGATGAGACAAAGGAATAGATTATCTACAGGAATATCTGAGAAAGGAAACTTCATACAGTCTGGCTGTCAGGGCTCTCCAGCACCAACAAAAGATGCACCCAATCCACGTGATCCATGGGAGAGTTTTGCAGAGAAGGAGTCCTTGCTTGTTAGTACTTCTCAATCTCAACAAAACTTATTGATGACCACTGAACAGAACAATTATTTTGCAGAAAATCTAGTGTCCAAAAAAACAGGTGCCCTTAGATCCTAAAGAACAAATTCTGCAAGATTTCTCATACTAATATACATTGCCAAATGATACTTGAGTGCACCCCACACAAACATTGCATGCATAAAACTTTTCAGTGTTATAGGAAACATATTTTTGATAAAAGATCTTGAATTATTCTAGAAAAGGCTGAAATGCTGTTATTTTTCAAAAACTTCACACAATTTAATCTGTGCGATCTGGCAATACTGGATTCAACGTTTAAGTAATATTGACAGACCTAAACTGTTTAGTTAAATATGCTTAGAGTTTTCTTGTATTTTTCATATGCAATGCTGATTTTTACAGCAAAAATAAAATTTGTAAACAAACAAAAGCAGTTCTTTTATCTTTCACTTTAGGTTCCAAAGATTTTGTAGTCTGTTTATTTTACCAGTAAAAAATATAATCGTAACAATCTAATTAACAGCAGTGTATGGTTTAATTGTTTAGACATCTTTTCCTTTTCTTAAAATAAAAATCAAGCAGTACATTACTTTCAAAACTTTAATAAATTTGTAAGTAATGACTCATTCTTTTCTCTTTTTCAATAGAAATAAAATTTAAAATAACAAAACTTTATTGAGATTCTGAATTTATAAGAAATCCTATGAAAACTAAGAGCCATCAACTCTTTCCAACCTTGTAACCACAAAGTAACCATTACAGTTTCCATATTATAACTTTTAATATGTTTTGTGTATCTTCACAAAATCTGGCAATGTTTCACTAAACATTACAAGTCTTTTGTACACAAAAATCTAAATTTTTAATTAACTCTCTCACTACGGACTCAGTCAATTTGACCTAAACATTGACCCCAAATTGATCTTTAGTTGCAACACTATAATTTCTAATATGTTTTGTGTATCTTCACGAAATTTTACAAGTCTTAAGAGTCATTTGTACAAAAAAAAACAGAATTTTTAATGAAATATTTTCATTAAAAATTTCTCCATGAATATATGGAGTCAAAGTGTTGAATGCTCCGAATGAAAAGATTTATTTTGATTTTTTTTTTTTTTGGTTACAAGGTTGGTTAAATTGACCAGCCTCATATAGAGTTAGAGTAGAGAAAATAACATATCAAATATAAAACTCTACTGAAAGAAAATGTTTGAAATTTATTTTGAAAGTTTTAAAGATTATGCAAATGAAAGTTAAGATTTTTCAAATGAAGAAAAGTATTTTTAATCTTAACATGAAATTCACTAAATACTTCATTTAATTGAATAATGCACCAAAAGCATAGAATAATGACCTGCAAAAAGCAGACAATGTCCTATAACTATCACAACTTTTCTGGCTTTCTAACTATACAACAAGAGCCATTAAAAATTCAGCTAAGCTCATCAATGTGTTTCAAATGGGAATAAAGTTTGAACTGGAAACAAAACAGACAATTCTCTGTACAGCAAACAATGTAATATAATACATCATTTGACAGATTGAAACTTTGGTTTTATTGGTAATTTCTAAAAGAGAGTATGTGATAAGAAGGGTCTGATTTTCTAGTTTATGTAACCAAATAATTTTGAAGGCTACAAAAATTTTGCTTTGCCTGAGCAATGAAACATTATAATGGGTAATTTATGTTAAATTTCATATTTTTTGAAGAGGTGGTAAATGAATTAGAGAAGGATACCTAAAGAGCAAATGTCACAAATCTCATACTAGAGGAAATTCAGAATTTTTTAAAAATATTGCCTTACAAAGTTAAGAACCTAAAATCTATATAATATAACAATTTGTATTATTAGCTACATTTTTATGTCAAGTTTATTCATATATCATGATAAGAAAGTAGTTTAATTAAAGTTTGAATGTAACTCAGTAAAACCTCATATGCAGAAAAGTATGCCCATAATAAGAGAGTTAAGTATCTTTACTAAAGACTTGTTCTTAAACATATGAATTTACTGTTGCCTGCTCTGAGTGCAAAATGGTTTTTATGTTAAGATTAGATATACTTTTATTCTTCTGAAAATTTACAAATTTCATTTGCATAAACTCTAAAATCTCCTAAATAAATATGAAACGTTTTTTTCAGTAAAACTATATCTTATGTTATTTTCTCTAAATAACTCTACAGACTTGGTCAATTTAACCTACTTTGTAACCACCACAAAAACAACAACAAATAAATCCATATTACTCTTTTTTTCTTTTCAGAATGACTGCAAATTGTAAAAGGAAACTAAAATTATTCACCTTAAATACCTTAAAGCTCATAACAGGCTACATCTGTTTATACTTAATGCTGATGTTTTATTGCCCTTTGAGCTGAGTCTAACTAATCATCTCACCAAACAAGTTCTAAATCACTCATCAAATGCATAGCTCATGTTACCCTATTGAGCTACTCCCACATATGCCAAGAAGAATTTTAATTTTTTTTTAAATTATCTTACCTAATCTAACCTAATAAATTTCTGATTTTTACATTTTAGTTACTTTTGTAACAATAAATAAAAAATGTATAGGAAAAGTAAAAACAACAGTACTTTCTTTTCACCTCTTGTTTTTCTATTGTCAGTTACTGATGAATTTTAAGCTACTTTTTCTTTTTTGTAATGATGGCACTAGTACACTAAATAATTTTTATTTACTTAAATAGTACACCTAAGAACACTGAATAATGCATACACAAAGCAAACAATGTCCTATAACTATTATAATTTGATTAGCTTTCTAACTAGGAAAAGAGGGGCTTAAATGAATTCCCTTTGTTACTTGATCTAAATACCATGAGATAAACTTTTAAACTTAAGATAAAATTGAAAATACTCTGTACTTTATACATCATTCGATAGATCAAAACTTTGCCTTTTTATTGGTTATAAATAATGTAGTATAAAATGTCAGAAAATATTATTGGCAATTTATGAAAGAGAGAATGTGATAAGTGGCCGTGGAAAGTGGGTCTGATTTTCTAGTTTATGACTCTGTAAACAAATGAGATTGCCAGCTATAAAAATTAAACATCGCCTTAAATTTTGAATGAACTCTGTAAAAACAGTCTCAGTATGGAGATCAGGGGTGTAAAGAGTACTATTAGGATAAAAATTAGAGAATTTAGCTGCAATGAGCCTATTCTGTTGAGCAACAAATTTCAGCCCTTGGATTCTACTGATGAGAAACTATTGGAAGGAAGGGAAATAAAAGGGTCAGAGAAGGATGATAAGGTTACAGTTATAGGTGATTCCTTGATAAGGCATGTGCATATAATAGCATGTGGACTAAATTGGGAGAAAAGATTATGCTATCCAGGGGCACAGCTGGAGGATACAACTGACAGAGCAGGAGATATAACAAACGGGGCTAGCAGAGATGCAGTTTTTATGGTGCATGTAGAGTTAATGGTGAAGAGAAAGGTAAGTCATAGGAGCTAGTTAATAAGTACAAGGGGTTGATAAATGCATTTAAAGAAAAGGCCATATTTAATTCTGTCAGAGATACTGCTCAAATTAACTGTAGGGATGAAGTTCTAAGTAGGTCACTAGGGTTAAATGCCAGGCTCAGGTTAGTAAGTAAGGATGAGCAGATTGGCTTGTTGGACTTGTGGGATCAGTTCAGTGGAAGAAGAACTTTTTGGAATGTATGGTTTACACTTAAATAGAATAGGGGCTGATTTGTTTGCTAAGGCTATTAACTCAGCTGTAAGGGAAGTTTTAAACTAGGACTAGACAGTGGTAAGGGTCAGGAAAAACTAAATGCAAAAAAAATAAGAGACAGAGAAAAGTTTAGCATA